CTGTAGGACCACTAGCCACTTGATGACCCCTGGACGCTTGCTAACGAGGAACTCGAGGTGGTTGATCATTTCACTTATCTTGGCAGCTGCATCAGCAATGATGGGTGCATAGAAACTGACGTCAGCTCACGCATTGCAAAAGCCATAATTACCTTCTTGAACCTGCGGCATCTTTGGCGACAGAAAGGAGTTTTCCTCGGTCTGAAAGGCCGGGTATACAAGGCAACAATGAGGGCCGTTCTGCTCTATGGTAGTGAGACTTGGTCCCTTCGGTCTGAAGATCTGAGGCGCCTTCAAGTCTTTGATCATCGTTGTCTGCGAAGTATTGCTGGTGTCGGATGGCACCAGCGCGTCCGCAACGATGATGTGCGTAGGCGAGTACTAGGTAGTGATAATCATGCTAGCTCCCTAGAACAACAGATAGCACTGAATAACTTGCGTTGGCTTGGGCATGTGCTACGTATGCCTGGTCGCCGCTTACCTAGGAGGGCTTTGTCCAGTCTACCAGGTGTAGGATGGCGCAAGGCACGAGGTAGACAGAAGTTGACTTGGCAGCGGGAAATGAAGTCAGTAACGACCAAACTGGGTGCGGTTGGTCCGTCTCGCCTTCCGGGCTGGAGTCCACGTGACTCGCCTTGTGCTTGGCTCGAGACTTTACGGGACATGGCTCGCAACCGACACCAGTGGCGCGTCTGCTGCCGTGGTGCTGAGTTATCTGCGGGGTAATGACTGATTATGACGCGTGGCAGTGAAAGCCGCAAGGAAGCTGTCACGCCGATGCCGCCTTATCTTTGCACGACAGCCAGCTGTTTGTGACGGTATGTTGTCTACACAACGTGTAGGGGCCTTGACCCTGAATGTTTGCTTAGGGCACTAAGGTTTTATGTTAGGTCCTCCTTCTCTTCATGTTATTATTTGTTTAGTAGGTCACCGTGGCTGTGCAGTAGCGAAGTCTTAGTGCAAATGGCTGATGTACTGCGGTTGATGGTCATGTGTGCAGGAGTTGAGGGACACGTTAGCAAGTGTGAATCAGGCAGTCGTATGCGCGCTTTCTTACAGACCAAAATCATTGGATGTTTTGGCAGTCCGTGTTCTTGCTAGCCAGCCATCATGTGATCTTCGAAACTGGCCACTTCGATTAAAACTCAGTGACCTTTGCTTGCTTGCTTCCGAAGCTAAAACGTTCAACTAATATTCTATTAGGATTATACGACTTCGTTAGTAGTTCTTTGCAGGCAGTGTTGCGTACGACATCCAATTTAAAGTGTTAATTCAATAAGTTGGCTGTGGAATGTCATGCTTCCAAGAATTCCCGTGTTTTCCTTGTGTGGCTAAGTGTCAGAACCTCAAAATGTTTGTTAAATATGGAGGTCTTCTTGATCCTCATGCATGGAAACAAAAGCGTACGGATCCCACCTACTGATGTCTTTCATGTGCTCAGCGACCGTCTGTCCGATGTATTACCCGGCACACTCATTGCAGTTTATCTGGTAGGTGACATTGGCTTGACTGCCTTGTTTGATTCAGTCCATGGTCTTGAGACCAGGTCCCACAAGGTACCATTTGGTTTATGCATTACCGTGAGTTAATGTGGTGCCAAAATGTTCTTGACGTAGGAAGTAATATTCGTCCATCTGCCCATTATTGCTGTTGTTGTGGTGCTCTCTGCAGGTTCCCTTTAATAATTTTTCGGGTTTGTTCCGGACCACCTGCGCAGATGGTTTTCTTCCTTATCGGTTCCGAGGTGCTGTTGTGTGTTTTCGCTCACCCGGATAGAGCTTTTTTGTTATTCATCGAAAGTTCCCATGGTTTATAAGTGTGTATCTTATTCCGATAGGCACAAGTGGAAAGCTCGGCATTTTTGTAAACAATTGCATTCTAGGATGGCAATTAATTGTCTTCTCCCAGTTTAATGATGAACTTTTGCAACGAAAGTGTTGGCGATCAAATCGGGCATCGTTCAGCTCCACTACAAATCACCGCATTGATGATATCAACTCGATTGGTGACGAAAGGTTTGCAAAAGATTCCGCAAGCTCAGCGAACGGTCCGACTGACAAGCGAAGTAAAATACTGTAGTTGAAGTGATTAAGTGTGAGCTGAATACAGAAATGTGGCGGGTCCGGTCGCCGTGGTTCGCGTTGCCACACTAATCATACTTAGAAAGAGCAGGTGAGGGAAAAATGAAAGTTAATAGGAGAATAATAAAAAGCGCTAAATAGGATGGATGGAGGTGCGAATACTGATGACGCGTGGAAGTTATGAGAGTTAGTTTCTAACTAGTGACGTAGTCGATTTCGTAGTTTCAATCCAAGAAGACATGCATTAAACATTCGTTCGGCTACTTTTTCATTTTTTCTAGCATGTAAAAACAGATTAGTCCAAGTTCCGACACAGATAGATGCGATATTGGCAAACAATGGGAGGCGCAGTAGCTGATCCGCAGTCTGTGGGAAAAGGGGCACTAGCCATTGCAAGTAGCAGGACTGCAACAGGTTGATTGATGCGGGAGTAGTCTATTGCCAAACATCGACTGATAGTTGTCAGTATCGCTTTATGCATTCACCAAGGGAAGACGAAGGGGATTTTGCAAGATCTGAAAAAATTGGTAATGCATACAAAATACAAAAGAGTGCTGTACTCCCTATCGTGGGCTGATGGACTGAGTTGACATGGTCTCCTAGCGATGACTGCTAAAAGCCACCACGATCTTTCACATACGTGTACGGTGAATTTTTGGGTACATAGAACGTACGTAAGAAAACAAGAGAATTGAGCAGATCGACCGCCTTACGTTGTTGTTCCTTGGTAAAAAGAAATAATGGTGCTCGGTTCTAACATGTAGCACCATTGTGAACTTAAAAAGTGAAGTGCGCAACAAAGTGCGTATCGCGCTAACGGTCTGTGCACGAGCGTTTGAGTACGGGGAGCAGTGATGCAACGATTTGGGTATTTAGTTTGCAGCCTCTAAGCTCCATGTTCAAGTATGCACTCCTTCAGGAGTTCGAGCAGAGATATCTCAGTCTGCGCATAACTGCTCGCAGCTGCATGATAGCGTAGCATGAGTAAGAACGGTTGTGCTGACCATATACCTTTTCTGTTATGAGTGTCGTAATCTCTTCACATATGCAACACAATGATCTATCAATATTATGCCGTTCTATGACATGCGCCGAGAGACTAAGTGGAAAGGAGGCCAAAAAGCAACAAAAAGGTCACTGAGGTCGCTTCTGCGCCATGTAAACAAGTGTATCCAAGCAAACGTGTTTACCCTCTCTCGGACCCGTCAAGAAGTTGAAAGGCTCCAACCGAGTCTAACCTCGAAGTGAGGACTGGCAATTCTACCGACCAGATCAATTGTTTGCCTCCCATCCTCTTCTTCTATTCAGACGCCGGACGCGTAAACGACGCACGTCGCGGGATGTGGTGCGCTGGTATACGTAACATATGACAGCCATCGGAGTTTAGTGTGCGAATAACGGCACTAAGTGGTTCACTTCCTCTCCATGCGTCACAAACAAGACGCTGAACACGCTCGCAACCCACGCGGTGTTCCCACCAGATGAGTTCAGTTGAGAAGGAATCGGTGGACAAACGTAACTAGCCTCTTTAATTCTGCTGATTTGATGGACCAGGTTTCGAAACCGTACAGCAGAGCTGAACGCACAACTCTACCATTCGGGGCGAGAATGATGTCACGCCTACGCTATACAGTTAGTGATCCCATCTTTTAATCCACTGGCGCCAGTACAACTATGCATGTGCCCGAATTTCCAAACAACTTAAGGTTGATCACCATCAAATGTCAGTGCAGGGGTAGGTCCCTGCCGATTCTGTAGGAAAACTACATTTGGAAGGCAAAAAACAGCACAAAATGGTTGACAGAAAGTGCTGCTTGGCACGTCTGTGAGTTGTCACAGATTAGAGCAATTTCGTCAAGGTAGTCCAAGTTGAGAAACTGATCACTTGAAAGCAGCTACACACCTAGTAGGTCAAGCCTATGTAATTGTCAATGACGAAGATAAAATGGAAGCGTAACCATGGGTATCATCGTTTCAACCATTGGATATATCGAAGGCCGGCGACAGTTATCCACAAGCTCTCTCTGTCCGAAACTTGCACGTAAAGCGCGATGATAATATTTACGCATTTCTCAGGCAGATCTTTCCTGATCAAACCATACCAAAGGATACGTCGATTCATCGAAGATAACTATGATGTTGAGGAATGCAACTGCGCTGGTTTCCTAATGTAAGATATGGTGCGCCAATAACTGAGACAATGAAGATGTGAACAGTGCAGCCTTGATTTCAACGAATCTCGGCTTGCTCTCCAAGAATCCGGATATCAGTCAAGATGTAAAGGACGGTAGAAGCAAGTAACTTAGTAGTGGTGGAGATCAGACTAGTCGCTCTGCGACTGTCGCATTTTGAAATCGAGCTTTTCTTAAAATTTGAGACAGTGACGGAAAAGTTTCCACCCAGTTTCGTTAAATGAACATGTAAATCACACACAAGAGCAGCACCCATAGTATGGTAATTATAAAGAGAGTTTGCATGACCAGTGTCCCTCGAAAAAATGATTAGATAGACCAGCTCAATGTATCGCTGAAACATGCGAGTCATCGCATTACATTAAGGTCCGGTCTCATAACTAAGCAATAAATCGTTAGACGATAAAGTTTGAAACGCATTGATGCTGGTACTTCACTGAGTGTGAGGTCCGCAGTTGAATTAACACTATCGAATTCTTGAGCGCAAAACGTCCTGATAAAATTAGGTTTTGTGGCAACTAGAGAGCAGTACTTAGTAGTACAGAGGGTAACAGGGGGCAACAGGGTAAAAATACGGATGGTCTTTACTTGACAAACGTTAACGTAAAATATCGAATAACTGCACAAATACTGGGCGCTAGACCCTAGGAAGGGTAACTGTGCACGCCGGTTAAAAACAGCCAGTAAACACTGACATATAACTATGCCTCCTGCAGTAAAAGGATACTACAACCAACAACCAGCAGAAGATAACCAGAAAGAGGAAATCCGCGGTCCGTCCGAAAAACATTCCTGGGAAAGTGTATGTAGGCGGACGAACTTACCGTTCTCTAAGCGAGATGAATAAGTGTACAGAAAGTACAAATTAATTAAAAAATGAAACCCAGTAGATGGGTTAATAGGATAGAACAAAAGAGAGGTTATTGGTCTCCATAGCTAAATTTGGGGTATATATGGGGGAACAAGTACCTCGTATTTGTGCGTATCCCCCCAAAGTAGTATCAGCCTCATGGGGTCGACGAGGCCTAACTTCCCGAGCAGAGAGAACAAAAGTGTACCGGAGAACCAGTATCGAGTTATAATAGGAATACTGTAGAACCAATCTGAAAGTTCGTTTCCAGGCATGTTGGAAAACTGTGAACGAACTACGGGTGAAGGAGGGAAAGTCAACGTGTCAACCAACGGAACGGGAGTATTAAGCAGCAGACTACCTTGGGGACAAAATAGCTCAGATCAGGTGGTTTTCACCAAAGAGCTGTAATTCAATTATGGAAGAGTTGTCCCTGAATCCGTTTACAAAACCATTTCAGTGTTCTTAATTATGTCACCAGTAACTTAATGCTATTTTCACTATTGCTGCTAATAGAAAACGAATACGGCGAAAAACTTGGTTTTGAAAGCTCAAGGTCACCAATGTGTGCAAGGTGTTTCAGATTCAGATTCAGATGGTCTGGAACCATTGGAAAACCACGTGAGTGTTCCTTCTTGAGGAACTCGTTGAGCCATGAAATGATAAGGTGCTAGGTTTTGATAAATCTAGACCGGAACACACCCTGGTCAACCAGTTACTGTCTAAGTTCCCTGAACTAGCAGTCCCCGCTGTGTAAGCCACGTGAAGAAAGAAGTAGAAAGTAAATAAAAAATAAATTAATAAATAAATGAATCTTTTATTCTCAACAAGGGGAGGCACGTCTCTACAGGCATGATCATTTTGACCTAACGATGCATGATCAAGAATGTGCAGGTCAGGTCAGGTCAGGTCAGATGGACGATAGAGGCTTCCGCCTAACGAGCGTCCAGTTCTTGTGCCGGTAAGTGAAGCGACCCCCGGCACTTCGACGTTGGATTGTCTCTTCTTGCTTCTGCAATGGAATGAAGCAAGAACAAGAGCAATCTCTGCACTTTCATATGCCAGCATCAAAATACACTACATATTAAAGTACAACTACAATATCTCTGGAAAAAGGATGGACCAACAATTGTCTAAGCCCCTTTTGAAGGCTTCTACGGTCTCAGACTCCACTAAATCAGAAGGGAGTTTATTCCAGTAGTTAACTACCCGGTTCGTAAAAAACTTTGCCCTGATGTCCAAACGAGCTCTGTGATGTTTAAGCCTCAGGCGATGCCCGCGCAGATGGTCTGACGTAGCCAGTTAAAACAGATGGGTGGAACTAATATCACTAAGTCCCTTAATGATCTTAAACGTCTCTATCAAATCCCCTCTCAACCTACGCCGTTCCAGGGAAAATAATCCTAAGCTACTTAGACGATCTTCATAAGACTTCCCTCGTTGACCTTCAATCATCCTGGTCGCAAGTTTCTGAATCTTTTCTATACAAGTGATGTCACTACGGAGGTACGGTGACCAGGCTTGAACGCAATACTCCAGATGTGGCCTGACCACTGCTTTATATAAGGGCAAGAATACTTCTGCTTTAGTGTTACTCAGCGCCCTCCTAAGACGAAATAATTCGTGTCGTGCTTTATTGGCAGCATGGCGACACTGTGCCGAAGGCTTAAAATTGTTCGCTACGATGACACCTAGATCACGGGCTTCGTCAGTGCACCGCAATGATAGAAATCCCACAGGAGACTGAAATGCAATTCCGCTACCACTACTAGTCAATAGTTGACATTTGTTGGCATTTAGAGGTAGGTCCCATTGACTTGACCAATTCGCCACAGTGAGGAAGTCCTTAGCCAATGTCGCACGGTTTCCCCTACTGACCAGCTTCAAGTCATCTGCGAAGATGTAGCAGGGATCCTCAAGAAGAGGAGCCAGGTCATTTATAAACATAAGAAATAGCAATGGACCCAGAACCGAACCTTGAGGGACACCACTGTAGGCATGACCAACACTAGAACTTGCTTCCCCAACGCTGACTCTGAATGTCCTTCCACGTAAGAATTCAGAGAGCCATAGTAATAGTTGAGGATGTAATCCAAACCATGTCAGCTTCTCAATTAAAAATCGGTGATTCACGGAGTCAAAGGCTTTACTGAAGTCTAAATAGCACACCTCTACCGATATCCCACCATCAAGACAACGGGTAACCTTATTTAAAAAGCACAATAAATTGGTAAGACAAGACTTCTTTTTGAGAAAGCCATGCTGTTCCACTCGAATTAGCTTGTGCTCAGTCAAGTGCTCACAGATCCTGTTCCTTATAAGCTTTTCCAAGCATTTCAGCATGATGCTGGTCAAACTAACAGGTCTATAGTTAAGAGGCACCGACTTAGAACCCCCTTGTGGATGGCAACAATAGTCGCCTCCTTCCAATCACGTGGCAGCTTGCCTTCTTGAAGAGACTGGTTGAATAACTCCACTACGGGATACTGGAGGATATCAGCCAGAGGCTTAACTATGGCGGGATGTACGCTATCAGGACCGGCTGATTTATAAGGGTTCAAATTGGCCAGCACTGTGAAGACCTCTGACACATTGAGAATAATTTTCCGCATTGTGTAGCTAGTTGAGCAGTGCGGTAGTGAGGGCAAGGCTGACCCACTATCCTTCCGATGCAGGCTTTGGTAGACACGTAGCAGCACTTCTACTTTATCGACGTCGTCTACAGCCTGGGTACCGTCCTCCATGGTTAGACAGCCGACCACCTCTCTTAAGGAAGCCTTTGACTGGACATAACTGTAATAACACTTGGGATTAGTTTTCGCAATTTTAGCCAACCTAAGCTCATATGAGTACTTCGCCTGCCGCTGTAGCTTAATAGCCATGTTTCGACACCTTTTGTACTGCAGCCAGCGTCGAAAGCCCCGAATTTCTTGATATTTTCTCCACTCAGCATTGCGCCTCTTTATCGCTCTATCAATTTTTCTTCTCCACCATCGGGGTTTCCCAAGATGTCTCCTAGGGCGAAGAGGAGCAAATTCATTCAGCAACTGTACAAGTCCACTTTTAAGTAGAAGCCACCTCTGTTCCAAGGTGGCCTTGTCCTGTTCAGGGACCCAAGTGATTTGAAGGGCTCGATCCCGCAATTTCGTAAAATCAATACGATTTAAATCTCTTCCCATTCGACGGTTCTCTGCAAGCCTCGGTGTGTCCAGAGAAAAGGTCAAAACACAATGATCACTCTTACCTATGGGTGGCTCCACGCATAGGTCAGTTAAGTGACCATGTCTGGCGATCACGATATCAAGGGTTGAAGGGGTACTCCCAGTACGACTTCTAGTCGGGACATTGACGTATTGCTCGAAGGCATTTACGTGCATCCAACCTACTAGTTCCTTCTCTAAAGTACCCGCTCTGTTTTCAGCATGCTGCCAATCAGCATGCGGAAGGTTTAGGTCACCGACGATCAGAAAATTAGGTGCGGCTATTGCCGCCTGTCTTAGTAACATACCAAGATCCCTGTCCTCTTCTCGGGTAGAGGATGGGCTACGATAAACACATACTATAATCTCCAATTTACCCCATGCTCTTAGATAGCAGGATACCGCCTGAACATTAGCAGAACTCATGGTAAATGGAGCTTCCCAGTGTTTATATTGGCAACTTATAAGCAAGAGTACTCCTCCACCGGTCTGATACCCGGGCCTGTCAGCCCTGTAGCACGCAAAGTCTATAAGCAGATCACCAATAAAGTCATCTGAAGAGAGCCAGGACTCGGACACAGCGGCCACATCAACATGCTCAAAACGTGTCACTAATTCCCCCCATTTGTTACGCACACTACAACAATTAGTGTACCACACGCTTAGTCTCTCCGAACGCGGTTGTTTCCCCTCGGACGTAGAGCCCGAGGGGATAAGCCGTTTTTTGTACCATTTCATTGAGATCAGCTACCTGAGTCGATGAATCAACGCTGGGCTGCTGTAACGCATTACGGGATAATCCCTTTCCTGGCTTCGCCCGCCTGGGCTTGCTGGATAAACTCCCGATGAGTTTCCTCTCATTTACCTGAGTCGAACTAACAGCACTGGACTTCGGATTTTCTGTACGGTCCAATTTAGGTGTGGCAAGTTTTTCATTTATCCTATCCTTTTGTGAAAAGGGCATACCACCAATGGACTTTGGTGCTACTACTGTCGAGCATGAGGCCTCGATTGTTTTTGAACACACCGGCTGAAGTCCCATTGCCACACCTTCACTGCCCTCTTCCGCCATAGAAGTGTGATTTACATTTCCATCAAGAGCAAGTTTCTCCACAATCAAATGCATGCCAGGAGTTATCTCGCTGGCGTCTTGTGAAGGGGGTTGTCCAGACAAGCTGACTGCTCTTGCCACAGGAGAGCAAACGCTAGTTTTTCTTAGGTGTCTGCATAACGTGAGGCTCACTATCATGAATTCCAACGTGTGAGACCGCAGATTCGTTAGCCAAGCTGGTACTAGTATCTTCTAACCGGCTCAGCCGAGGGGCTTTAGCCTTCGAAGTTAGTGTGTCCGGTGCTATTTGATACCGACCATTTGTCTGACTTGCAACCAATCCAGCCCTGTTAAGTAGAAGGTCCCGGTGTATAGGGTTCCGAAACTCAACCAAGATAGGCCTTGCATAACCTTGGTGGCGGAGCATACTTGTTTCTCTCCAGCTGCCAACACGATGTACTCTCTTGATACCAACGTATAACGGTATTCCGGCTATACGAAGGATATCGTGCACTCGCCTTCTGTCTAGGTCCCGTCGAGTTCTAGTTTCTCGTATGACTGGCTCCTCCCTATTGTAGATAAGAACGTTTCGTTGTCTACCCATAGCAAGTTCAGCACTTCGCAAGTAACATTCCAATGAAGACTGCAACTCTTCAACTTTTGAACGCAATGTCTTAATTAGCAAGCTCTGGTCACGAATCAACTTCTCGGCACTGTCTAGTCTATGCACACAGTTCCTACTAGCGGACTCATGCACATCTGGGACATGAGTAACTGAATCAAAAGCCTGATCGTGTATCAATCGAGAACCAATGTCTGCTAAGCACACGCAGTGGAAGCAAATCCACTTTAATTGGGAATGTCGGGCCTAAAGATCAATAGAGTCCTGGTCTAATCTAGAGCAGTTGTTATGGTACCATAACAAGCATCTGTCGCACTGGATTCCCTCTTTGACCTCAACGCCACAAGTGTGCTCACCACATTTATAGCCAGCCACCGATGTCATTACAAATAGCACGTAACAGCTCCGTATAGAATAATAAAGATAGGTAGTTTGGTTGGATTAACTGACCAAACTAATGCAGGTATGACGGCTTAAGATGAATAAATAGTCAAAACAAGTTAATACAAAAGAGAATACAACAATATTGAATTAAA